GTAAAAATGAAGAACTTCTTTCATTAAATATGCTATCAACAGATAAAATCACCAAACTACATTACTCGTACATAAAATATATAGAGAATTATTAAAAATCAATAAGGAAAAAAGCCTACCACATAGATAAATGAGGAAGGTTTTGACTGATAATTTCTTAGAATATCCAAATTTCTAGTAAATAGGAAAAAAGATGCTCTACTCTCCTAGTCATAAGGGAAAGAATATTTAAGACCACTAGGCAGTTCCACTATACACTCACCAGCATGGCTAAAATAAAAAATATTAAGTGGTAAGAAAGATGTGGAGTAAATGGCATCCTCATACATTGACGGTAAGAAAGTCAATTAGTAAATCATTTTTCAGGGTTGACAGTATCTCCAAAAGCTTGTCATGTACATATGCTATGATCTTCAAATCCCAGTCCTAGCTATGTATCTATCAATATCATTACATATTTCACCTAAAGATATATGCATCAATAATTACAGTAGTCTCTATAACAGCCAATAATTGATATAGCTGAAATGCACATTAATAGTAGAATGTACATAGTGCGATGTATTTATATAGTGAAATACTAATTGACAATAAAAATGAACAAGCTATAACTACAAATAATATATTGAGTGAAATAAATCGGATAGAAAAGGTTTGTTATACAACAGTCATGCACTGCATAATGACATCTCAGTCAACAAAGGACTTCATATACAACAGTGATCCCATACAATTATAATGAAGCAAATGTAGTAATCTGCTATTTTGCAGTTGATACTAATATTGCAGATCAAGTAGGAGAAATGATTGATACTCAGTAATGGCACCGGGACATTTGGTTTTCCATATAAAAAATATATAAAAATAAAAAATAGACACAATTTAGGTTTGTGTAAGCACATTTTCTGATGTCCGCAGAATGACAACCTTGCCTAAAGAGACATTTCTTAGAACATATCCTCATTGTTAAGTGATGCATAACTGTAATATATATCATATAAACATTGTTATATAATTATTGGTGCAAAATAATAATAGTTTTTGTTATAACATTATAATAATAACATATTAAGTTTAATATATAGTATTACATTTATTTAAAGTTCAGGAACAGGATAACACAAGGGTTGAATTGTCAAAATGAGGTTTACACAAACTTATAACAAAATTTCCAATAATTCAAATGATTTAGAAAATCAGAATGTTTCCTTTTTTATGCAACTATATTTTATTATAAAAACTTTCAAACAATATAAATGTTAGCAGAGAAAAAATGAAAACTCCTCTTTCCCTTGACCTCTCTCCACTTCCATAAGTCTCTCCAGAAGTAACTGTTATCAGTGGTTTGATATTTATCTTCCACATTTTTTTTAAAATTTATGCTATTGTGATAAGAACAATCCACATGAGATCTACTCTCTTAAGTTTTTGTAGTATATAATATGTCATTACTGACTATAGGTACAACATTGTATATCAGACCTCTAGATGTTATTCATCTAGAGCTTATTAATCTTGTTTAACTAACACTTTATGTCCTTTGAATAGAAATTTCCTATTTTCTCTTTCTCCTGGTTCCTGGTAACCCTCATGTTTTTGAGTCTATTAATTTGGCTAGTTTAGATACTTTATGTAAGTGAAATCACATAGTAACTTGTCTTTCTGTGACTGGCTTATTTCACTTAGCATAATGTTCTCAAAGCTCATCCATATCATTGCATATTGTAGAATTTTTCTCCCGTTGAAGGCTGAATGGTATTCTACTGTATGTATAAACCACATATTCTTTATCTGTTCATCTGTTATAGATATTTAGGTTCTTTCCATAACTCGGCTGTTGTGAGTAGTGCTGCAGTGAACACAAGAGTGCTAGTATCTATTTTAAGCTTCTGATTTTAAATCCTTTGAACAAATCCTCAGAAACAGAATTGTTGAAGCATATCCTGGTTTTATTTTTAATTTTTTAAGAACCAACTTTTATACTGTTTTCCACAGAGGCTGCAATGTTTTGCATTCCCATGAACAGGGTACAAGTGTTCCATTTTCTTCACATGTTTTCCAACAGTTGTTGATTTTTGTTCTTTTTTTAGTAATAGCCATCATGACAGGTACAAGGTGATACCTCATTGTAAGTTTGATTTACATTTTCCTGGTAGTTCGTGATATTGAGCACCTTTTCATATATCTGTTGGTCATTTCTATTGCTTTTTCTCTGGAGAAATGTTTATTCAAATCTTTAGCCCATTTTTAAATTCAGTTATTTGCTACTGAGTTCTAGAAGCTCTTTACCTGTTTTGGAGGCTAACTTGTTACCAGGCGTATGGTAAGTATATTGCAAGTATATTCGTCCAATCTGTAGGTCACCTTTTACTCTATTGATTGTTAGCTTTGCTTTGAAGAAGGTTTTTAGTTTGATTCAGCCTGCAAGACCAGTGTCATGAAGCTTTCTTCCTATGTTTTCTTCCGAGAAAGTTTTATGGTTTCAGGCCTAACCTTTAAGCCTGTAATCCATTTTGAGTTGATTTTTGTTCCTAGTGTAAGATAAAGGTACAATTTAGTTATTTTTCATGCATATAACTGGCCTAAAAGTCTTCAGAAGTTTCTTTTATATGTAAGATTTGTTTTGAACAACATGTGTAGAACTCACTTACATCGAGTAAGCTGTTTTATTGTATCTCCATCTTACAGTACATTACTTATAAGACTGTTGATTACTTTTCATTATACATCAAGCTGAGTTCTCATAAATAGTCTAAGTCTAATTCTTTTACAGTAAACAACCTACATGGATCATGTATACCCTGAGTATTACATTCATATTAGCTCTCTGCTTTAAGTGGTATTAGTGTGCTTACCAGAATGACTAGTTATTGGTATGCTTACAAGTAGAGCTAACTGGAGAAGTTGCTTTTCTTGGGCTTCCCAATGAGGGAGAAGAAAATGATTTGGGCCTGCTGCTAATACTTTGTTTCCTAGCAGGCAAACATAGTCTACAATGCTGAAAGTCAAGAATGTGATTACTTTTGTGCAGTAGTAGTAAATGGTGCTGACATGAGATGGCTCCTGAATTATAAATAATATTCAATTTCTTGATTGGTTTTATGCTAATACTTTGTAAAAATTTATCAACCTTACACTTAATGTTTTATGCATTTTCCTAGTAAGTTAGTTATACTTTAATATGAAGTATACTAAAAATATTTCAAGAAATAATGAACATAAATTTTAAAAGTAACACCAAAAATTATAAAGCTTTAGAAAGACTACATGAGAGAAAAATCTCTGTGACGTTCCTTAATGTAAAGTTTTCACAGATATAACACCAACGGTGCCATTCATAAAAGAAGCCATAACTTGAAATTCTTAAAAAAAATAAGAATTTCCACTAATTGGAAGACACTGTTTAGATAATGAAAAGACAAACCACATACTAGAAGAAAATATTTGCAAAAGACATATGTGGTTGAAAGATTTCTATTCAGAAAACAAACACTTATTTTTAAATTAAAAATAAAATAAAATTTTTTTAAATTTTGAAAATAGTGTTAAAAACTCAACAATAAGAAAATGAATAACCCAATCAAAAACAAAGGGGCAAAGAATTTAAATGAGCATGTCATCAAAGAAAATGACATGCATAGCAAATAAATGCTTGAAAAGATGCTCAGCATCATTTCACTTCAGGGAAATACAACCTCGAAAAACCCGTGAGGTAAGACTAAAACCTATTAGAATGGTTCAAAACAACCCTAAGAATGCCAATTACTGGGTGACTATGTGGAGCAACTGGTAGTCTCAGACACAGGCCATATCAACGCCCTCTACCTAGTAACCACCAGGAATAGACTTATGGTAAAAAATGTAGGATTTGTTCCTTGCTGCAATAAGGGAAAACCACATGCTGTGATGAAATGTTGGTACTTTAAGTGTGAGTGTGCAAGAAAGAGTTTGATATTTGATTTGAGCTTGTTTTGGCGATGGTTTTCAGAAATAGATAGTATTGAGAAGAGGAGATAAATCTATTATTGGATGTCTTAATAATTTTTATATAGGAGTTGGGGGAAAGAAGTAGGGCTAAAGCTATATTTGACAAGATAGACATAATCACTCATACTAGCCAGAAGGACAACTTTCTTTTTTAAATAATGGCACTATTGCGCTTTTTGTCTCCACTCAGACGTTATTATGGAATGGTCTTGTTTTTATTTCAATCCTTTGTCATGGACACAGTGTAAATTTGCCTGATGTTCATATTTGGTGAAATTTTTTGTTAAGTGGGAATCGTCTTAGTCAGGATGTGAGTGCCAGGACAGTTGATAGCAGCCGGAATTGCTCTTTTTTCTCAGGAGAAAGGCAGTCTTCCATGATTCTATACATACCCAGTCTAGACGCAATATATAGTCTGCCTGTGATATCCTTAAATGATATTTGTTTTTATTTGACTTTGCACTTTTTATTATGCCAACTTTCAAACCCATTCAAAAGAAAATCGAGTTAGAAAGCCAAGAAAACTTACTGGTTCTTGGAATTTCTATAACTCTAAATAGCACCATAAAACTTGAAACTTAATTATTTGAATATACATAAATGGTTGGCATTATCTATGCAACCAGCACGTAAGCTTCTTGGGGTAGTACATTATAGATGCAAAAAATATCTAAGCAAATAATCTTAAATAAGTGCTCAATTAGTTACCTGACTTCTAGGAAAAATAAACAATATTTACTGGGGAAAAGTGGTCATTGGAGAATATGACAGCCCTGAGCAGCAAGGTAGAGAATTATAGGTTGGCTCAGGTATTATTCTTGTGGGACTAATAGCAACAGAGTAATCAGAAAGTGAGTAGTTAGAAAATGAGAATTTCTTGCAAGTTGACCTGTGGGGAGAAACTTGAAAGTCCCACACGATTCCTTTGCACATGTGCTTTTTTTTACCCCCCTAAATCTGTAGTGAGAATTTATGAATTCTTTGTCCTTAATGCTCTTGTCTCATGGGGACCCAGGAGAGCAGCTATTCCTGGTCAAGGAGGAGATTTTCAATCCTAGAATAAGCTTTTGTGCTTGAACTATAGATATGGAGCTAAGATACACTTGGAGCAGTTATCAGTCAGGATTTTAGATTTCTTCAATTTGGCTATAGATAAGGTTGGTGAGTTGAATTCAGGCCTGGCTGCCATACCTGTTTGATCATATAAACTGGGAAGGTTTAGACTTGGATGCGTTGATTTAACCCCCTCATTAAATGTATATATGATGCAAATATTAATTTGGAGGTGATAAACCAAAGTAGCATAAATGCTTATGTCTAACATAGAATTGCAATTGATTCTGCATATTTTGGTGTTTTATCCATTCTTTTAACATTAAGTATACTATTTTTTAACAATAAGGAAAACAAAAAGAAAAAAATAAATAGCCAAAGGAGCAAGTTGGTGTTGTTGAGGCATTGTTGAATTTCTCTGTCTTAATCTTTTTCTTCTTTCCTGTCTTCTCTTTTCTATCTCCTGTCTTCTATCTTCCTCTCTCCCTTGGCCACTTCCCTACGCCTTTCTCAGATCTCTCTTTAAGCCGAATTTTACTGATTTTTATCATGTAAATTAGTGATTACACAATTGTTTTGTATTTGGTATACAAAAAAAATTGGCATTCTCAGTTTTTTTCCAAATCAATATATTTTATTGATTATAAAATAAAATATCTTTATTTAATTGTCACTAATGGTGAAGAGAGTAATAATTTAACACCTCCAGATTCCAAATAGTTGTATGTAGTTTCTGAAAAACATACAATGGATTTCCTCCACTCTGATATGTGCATATAAGGATAAATGTAAACATTACTAGTCACTCTTGTTTTATAGTGTAGCATATTATCAACTTTTTAAACATTAAATACATAAGACATAGATTTAAAAAACATGTAATTGAAAATGAAGAGGATTTTTTAAAATGCCATCCCTTTTCCTTTTTTCATAAAGATGACGATTGGCAGAACCCATCCAAATCCTCTGTCCCTCTCCTGGATCAGAAAATGTATTTATTTAGCTAATCTTCTATCTATTTGGTATGGATTAGGAGATCTTATTTCAGTTTATATATATTTGGCATATAGCTCTTACAAGGAAAACACTTGGATAACATATAACCTGGATATTTTTAACATTACCTTGTCTCCAAATTTTCCCCAGATGCAGACTCCTGAGAGGTAAGCAAATGCTCTTTGAACTAGGCCTGCTGAGTATTGTGTAGAGGAACAATTCTGGTGTCTGAGAAAAGTCTTCCTTTACTCATCAGTGCAGAATACTTAATAGGACATATTTCTAGGTTGGTTGGTTGGTTTGTTTTTGAGACGGAGTCTTGCTCTGTCGCCAGGCTGGAGTGCAGTGGCGCAATCTCGACTCACTGCAACCTCCGCCTCCTGGGTTCAAGAGATGCCACCGCCTCAGCTCCCAAGTAGCTGGGACCACAGGCGCGTGCCACCACGCCCGGATAAGTTTTGTATTTTTAGTAGGGACGGGGTTTCACCACGTTGGCCACAGTGGTCTCGATCTCTTGACCTCGTGATCCGCCTGCCTCAGCCTCCCAAAGTGCTGGGATTACAGATGTGAGCCACTGCGCCCGGCCCATATTTCTAGTTTTAACACAGTTCTTGAGTTTTTGTTGTTTATGCTATGTAGGGATAGAGATCTTCCACATAGTGAAAATGAAGCTCTCCTACATAACTGGCATGCAGAATGAGGCTGTTTTGCAACAATCTCACTCCTAATACCTCTCTTTGTCCATTTCTTTCCTACCTAGAGGCCTCCTAAATTTTGTCCTAAGTTTAAGGCTCTGATTACAGATTTTGCAGTTCTCTGACATTTTCTTTGTGTCCTGCTCACGACTCTACTGTTTAAATAATATGGAATAAATAATAACTTATGCAAAAAACAAGTTAATATAAAAGATTTAAAGACTGGGATTTTAGAGAATGTACCATTAGAAAACTATTTTGTTAATATTTCATTGATGCCATAGAACAGCACAACAGGCAAATTTTCATGAACAGAATAAATCATACCTAAGTCCATCAATCATGTATTATTTTCCATTGATTATTCTGATCACCTTCTTTGACTAAATTCTCCTTAGAATGTTTACCCTAAAATAAAATATTTATTATACCACAGCCCGCTGATGAATTTTCTCAGATCAGAATCATCTTCCCTTTTGACCCACAGTATCCTCTTTTGAGCATCACAGTTTGCCTTCTCATTTCTCACTCCTTAGCTACCAGATAACATTGTGTGATTTCTGCCAGATCCTTCTGACATCAGGCCTTTTAACCAGAAGTTAAAATTAATAATTATCTGCTTAGTCAGTATTTCATTAACAAACATATTTTGAGTGGCAGCTATATTACAGATGCTGTGCTATGGAAATAATGATGAACAGAACCACTCCCTACCTCCCCCATCAATTCTTCATGCAGCACACAATTAAATGGGGACTCAGGCATTGATTAGTCATATAAAGTAATATCAGGTGGAATAAGAGGTTTCTTGAAGGGAATATTACAAGCCAGTGTACTGAGTTCAGTGAGACCCTTTCTAAAAATGGGTCATTAAAACTGATGTCTGAAGAATTAATAGAAGGATGATGCTGATTCCTCTTTTCTTTTCCTCTCACTTGTCTTGGAATTCCTCCACCAGATACAATTTTGTATTTAGAGATTTCATCTTCCTCTCTTTCTATCACAAAACTTTTCCTCTGTTATTTCCAAAATCTTCTGCCTTGGTTTCCTAAAATCTCAAGTGCATTGGGTATTGTACCAGGTCCTGACTTCCTTGGCTCCTAGGAAGACATCATGCTCCTTATTAGCACTATTTCATTCTCTACAAGGGACTACACCTTATGGATTAAAATTAAGAATCCACTCATTTTTTGTTACATCTTCTTTAGAAGTATGAACTTAGACCAAGTACATTAGTAAGTTATTCAAGAGATAACAGAGTTTAAGGAGTAAATTGTGGGGAAACCTGGGGGTGGCTCGTCATGATGGGCAATTCAGCTAAAAAAAAAACAAAAAAAAACAAAAAAAAACTGAGTAAGGACTAAATGCTTGAGCCTAAACAAAATCCAGGGAATAAATACATTTGTAAAGAGTCCTAGCAATACCAAGAGGTCAGAGAGTGGGGTTTCTGTGACAGAGCACCTTCAATTTGAGTGCAGAGGCAGGCACCAGCAATGCAGACACAAAATAAAGAAATCCATTTATTTAGGGACTAGGATCGATGCCGTCTTCCTCATGCAGCTGATGTGAGTAAAAGTGATGTAATATGAAATTTCCTTGTAAATTAAATAATATTAAATGCTTAGATGACACCATCATTTTTATAATTGTCCTCTTTCTTATAATACCAATGATGATGGTGATCATAATAAAATGATAATATGTCCATGACTCCCCATTTGGGAATAAAATTGGATATGATATGAGTTATTTAGAAATGAAGTGAGCCCATGTTGTTTGCTGTGAGGAATAGGGGAACTAAATGGGGAGCCTGAGGAGTTCAGTCAGTGCTTTAAACACGTGTCAGTCTCTAAAACAATGATGTTTCTAAGATCAGTTATGATTGCGTTCTTACTAAAATTTAGACTATCTAGTCCAGCGTCCAAACACCTACTCACTTCTTAAAGAATATTCTCCTGAAGGCTGAACAACAGAGTGAGACTTCGTCTCAAAAAACAAACAAACAAAAGAATATTCTTCAGCATTTGTCCTATATATTAATGAGAAAAGATGGAAAGATACATAAGAGGGAAAACATGATTTTTCTTCTGTGCACCAAGATAAAATGTACTAATTACATTTTTTTTGTTTCTATTCAGCATTCCAGTATTGATGCGGCACTGGGAATTCTTATGCAGAACTGAAATTCCTTCGAATGAGTTTGACCCTCAGAAGCCCTTGCCAGTATGTCTTCAGCCAATAGCTCATGTATTCACCCCTCATCCTTCCTGCTGCTGGGAATCCCAGGACTGGAAAATATACATTTCTGGCTTGGCTTCCCATTTGGTATAGTGTATCTGGTTGCCCTCCTAGGGAATGCCATCATCCTATCTGTGATCCAGTTGGAGTGCAGCCTTCACCAGCCCATGTTCTACTTGTTGGCCATGTTGGCTCTGACTGATTTGGGCCTGTCCACTGCCAGCATTCCTAAAATGCTGGGCATATTCTGGTTTGGCTTCAATGAGATTGCCTTTGGGGACTGTTTAGTGCAAATGTTCTTCATACACCTCTTCACAGGCATTGAAACATTCATGCTTGTAGCCATGGCTTTTGATCGCTACGTTGCCATTTGCCACCCTCTTCGATACAACGCGATCCTCACCAACAGAGTAATTTGTATTATTGCTGGAGTAGGAATAATGAAAAATTTTGTTTTGGTTTTTCCACTTATATTTCTCCTTTTAAGGCTTTCATTCTGTGGACATAATATTATACCGCACACCTACTGTGAACACATGGGCATTGCCCGCCTGGCCTGTGTCAGCATAAAGGTCAATATATTATTTGGATTGATCCTTATCTCTATGATACTTTTGGACGTAATTTTGCTTGCTCTCTCCTATGTAAAGATTCTCCATGCTGTCTTTAAACTTCCATCCTGGGAGGCCAGGTTCAAAGCTCTCAATACCTGTGGCTCCCATGTGTGTGTAATATTAGCTTTCTTCACTCCAGCCTTTTTCTCCTTTATGACTCATCGATTTGGCCACAATATTCCACGTTCTACCCATATCCTCCTGGCTAATTTATATGTGATTATCCCCCCTGCTCTTAACCCCCTTATTTATGGGATAAGAACCAAGCAGATCCGAGATCGAGTAGCAGTGGTCTTTTTTTTTAAGGAAGTTTGCCTTTGAACACTTGATCTGATGATAGCCTTCAAATCTTTCCTTTGCATTCTTAAAAAAGGGAAATTTAATTGTCATCAAGTTCCAACGGAGTAAATGCTTTACATAGTTTGATGTTAAACAGAAAATACTTTCTTATATGCAGTATCAAATTGAAGATAAATTAATAGCAAATATTTGTCCCTAGACTAAATGAAAATGTATTGTTACATAAATAGGTACATTTATTTTTGTAATGAATATAAAAATCATATTACAGTGATAAAGTTTTAATGCAACTTGAGGCTTGGTGGCTCACACCTGTAAAAAGCTCCTCAGTGGTTCTTTATAATTTCCCCCTCCCCATCACCTGTCCACAGGCAACCATTGACCTTCTTTCTAACTTTTAGATAATTAGTTTGCCTTTTCTAGAATTTTATGTAAATAAAATACATATTTATTTCTAGCTATTTTGACACATTATTATTATTTTCAGATGCATTTTTTAGTATAGCAAATGCATGCCAGTAACAATTATTTATTATCATTATCAAATATTATATACTGCGCATAATTGTGTGTGCTAGATTTTTATACTAGACTGGCAATGCAGTAGGTTTGTTTACACCAGCATCACCACAACCACTTGCAAAGTGTTGTGCTACATTATAATTACTACAATGCCACTAGGTGATAGAATTTTTTTTCACCTTCATTTTTGTTATTGTGTATATTAATAGTTAATTTTATTTTGTTGCTAACCCCTATGCAGTTGTATGACTATGCCACAATTTGCTTAACCATTCACTCATTGATAAACATTAGGTTTAGGGTATTATAAAGCCTCTATGAATCTCCATATATAAATCCTTGATGAATACCTGTTTTAAAAATTTATTTTGCATAAATACCTAGAATTCTATTGGTTGGGTCATATGATATATACGTGTGTGTGTGTGTGTGTGTGTGTGTGTGTGTAACATTTTTAAAACAAGGCTGTTTCCCAAAGTCTTTATTCCATTTTGCATTTCCACTAGCAGCCTATGGAAATTCCAGTTGCTCTATATTTTTTTTAACATTTGGTATGGCTTACCTTTTCAATTTTAATAGAGTGTAATGATGCCTTGTGGTTTCAATTTGCATCGTTTTAATAACTAGTGATGTTGAGCACCTTTTCATGTGCATCCTGGCCATTCATATAACCTTATGAAACATATATTCAAGTTTTATCTTCATTTTTCAAATTGGGATATTTTTCTTTTTATTACTCACTTGAAAATGTTTTTTGTGTAGTTTGGCTATAACTCCATTGTCTGATATATGTGCTGCAAATATTTTCTCCTAGTTTAAGGCTTGCAATTTTAATTTTCTTAGTAGTGTATTTTGAAAAGTAACATTTTAAAATTCTTTGATAAATCTCCATATGGTTTTTCCATAGAGGTACTACTAATTTACATTTCTACCAATAGTGTATAAGCATTCCCTTTTTTCTGCATTCTTGCTGACAGGTTTTTTTAAATTTTATCTTTCTAGTAATAGTCATTCTGACTGCTGTAAGATGATATCACATTTTTGGTTCCTAAATTGCATTTCTCTAATGATTCATGACATTCAATTTTTTTTCATGTGCTTGTTTCGCATTTCTTTTGAAAAATGTCTACTCATATTCTCAGTTATAAATGGGAGCTAAACAATGTATACTTATCTTAGAGTTGGAATGATAAACAATGGAAATTCAGAAGAGTGGGGAGGTGGAAGATGAGAATCACTTAATGGATACAATGTCTCATCAGTCCTATTGCAGCTATAATCATTCCTGGCAGCATAGAACACCTCTGCTATAATCAATTATTAGGGTGATGGATATCTTAAAATTCCTGACTCTACCACTAGGAAATTTATCCATGTAACAAAGTTACACTTGTACCCTATAAATTTTTACAAAGACAAAATTGAAAAAGTGTAAAGAATCTGGGGAAAAAGAGACGTTTCTTTTCCAAATATTCATTAAGTCCTTTAAGAATGAGCTCCAAAAGTTCATTACATTTTTTCAGTCTTTCCAGCATTCTCTCAATGGTTACAACTGTCAGAACATGTTTATCCTAAAAATAAAAATAAAACCCACTCAATTCAAAAACACTAGATACTAACTTTATTTATATTCATACTATATTTAAGATTATATGTTTGTAATCAAACAAAGGTCATGTAAACTTTAAGGGGAGTATTTATTTTTTAAAAGTGGTCTTGCATATTCCAGGTCTACTTACTCTCTCTCTTTGATTCTGTAAAAGTCACACTGTTTTAATACTCAGTCCTGTTCATAAGTTCTCATTCTAANAAAAAAAAAAAAAAAAAAAAAAAAGAAAGGAAAAGCAATGTTTTAACAATTTGTTGATGTAATCCATATAGTGAGAGTAGAGGTTTATGGAGGACAGGTGATCAGTGGACTTTTAGTTCAAGTTTGCCTCACAGTGGGCCCACCAGGTTCCTGAACTAATCCAGTGGTTATTTTTCCAATTCTGGAATGCATAAATGTAAAAGACATATTTAGCAACTAGAAGAATTCCCTCTTGCTTGAGAAAGGCCTTCAACATTTTTTCTATTCAGGCCTTCAACTGATTTGGTAAGGCCCACTCACATTATGGAGGACCTAATTTTTGTTATGCAACTAGTAAACTTTAAAAGACCCTAGACCCTCAGTAAATTGGTGATTTGGGTTAGCTGAGAAAAAGGCATATTTGTACATTTTTTCGTGGCTCACAACAAAGATAAAGCTCACTCTGTGCAACTGAGAATGTATCCCAGGAGTTTTACCTGCAAGTTTTTTATTTGTCTGTGTTTACATGCTGTATCTGTTTCTTTCTTCTATTGTATCTCGCCCTGACCTTATTGAAGTCCTAAGGCCCTTTCAGATAGTTAATCCTATGTAATCTGCATCTACTATTTCAAAATTTATATAAATGAGGTATAAAGTGAAGTCCATGGAGTTTCATTGGTTATTTTCTTCCCTGCAATTACATGATTATGGAAGCTAACTCTGCCATGGATGAAATAAGAATTGTGTCTGATATCTTTGATCAGGGCTCCTGTAACCCATATCCTGAAGCGTTAGCTCATCAGTCCCATTGCAGCTATGATAGTTCTTGGCAGCATAGAACCACTCTGGTATAATCACTGAATTATTTATAAAAGACTATATATTAGTACTTAAGTTGCATTAAAACTTTTTTTTCTTTGTTTTTGGAGACTGAGTCTTACTCTGTTGCCCAGGCTGTGAAGTGCAGTGGCACGATCTTGCCTCACTGCAACCTCTGCCTCCTGAGTTCAAGCACTTCTCCTGCCTCAGCCTCCTGAGTAGCTGGGCCTACAGGCACACACCACCACACCCAGCTAGTTTTTGTATTTTTAGTAGAGTTGGGTTTTCACCATGTTGGCCAGACTGGTCTTGAACTCCTGACCTCAGGTGATCTGCCCACCTCAGCTTCCCAAAGTCCTTAAAGACTCTGGGCTTTAAAATGTTATATACACACACAAACACACACACACAAACACACAAGTATATATCCTATGACCCAACCAATAGAATTCTAGGTATTTATAAAAAATAAATTTAAAAAGCAAGTGTTCACCGAGGATTTATATACGGAGATTCATAGAAGCTTTATAGTAGCCCCAAACCTAATATTTATCAACAAATGAATGGTTTAAAAAATTGTGGCATATTCACACAATTGCAAGGGGGTTGGCAACAAAATAAAATTAACTATTAATGTACACAATAACAAAAATACATTTGAAAATAATAATAAAGTGTCATAGAAGCCAGAAAAAAATATGTATTTTATTTACATAAAATTCTGGAAAAGGCAAACTAATTAATCTAACAGTTAGAAAGAAGGTCAACGGTTGCCTGTGGATAGGAGATAAGGAGAAGGAAATTATAAAGAATCACTAAGGAGCTTTTTTCAGGAATAAAATTTTCATTATCTTGATTGTGATAGTTTCATAAGTATACACATCTGCTCAAAACTTGTCATCAAATTGCACACTTTAAATAAGTCCATTTTATGTATCTCAATTATACCTTAATAAAGTTTAAAATAATGATTAGCTCAAGGGATTTATGACTGATCCGTCACACCAATTAGACATTCTAAATACAATAGAAAGTGGTATATTAAGTTGTTCTCCACCTGAAGTAACTCAAAAGGGATTCTATCAGCACTGAAATGAGTATTAAGGAGTGACAGCACCATCCACACATTGTTACTATTGCGAGGCAATGAAACTAGCAAGATAATTCTTTATTCCAGACAAAATACCACTTTAAAAAAAAAACACTTAAGCACGGACAACTGGAGTATTATGCTGCAGACCTAGCAAACTACACTTTTGGTAAAATTTTATCAAAGTATATTTTATATAAAATGTTCAAAAATTTTATGTGTACAACTGAAAAACAACTACCTATTAGGTACTATGCTTATTACCTGGGTGACAAAGCAATTTGTACACCAAACCTCCATGACCTGCAGTTTACCTGTACAACAAACTACAGTGCACATGGACCCATGGACCCAAAATGAAAGTTGAAATAAGAGCTGATACAAAAAGAATATTTTTCCTCAAAGTAAACAAATCTGTATAATTTGTTACCCAAACAGAATAACAGAAATCAATAGCGCTAGAGAAGTCTTTATTCTTCTCTCTTTCAGTTACTGCTTCACTGATGTATAAACCCTGTCTTGATTATTAATACTATAGATTGGTTATGCTTGTTTTTCATTATTAATTTGAATAAATGGATTGATACAGCAGGTATTCCATGCCAGACTTCTCTTATTTAATATTATATTTCTAAGATTCCTATGTGTTCATTTATATCTATGTAGTTATTTAATCACCATTTTATAAATATTTCAACTTATTAATGCTTCAAAATATACATCAGTTCAACTGCTGGTTAACATGTGAGAAGTCTTCAGTGAGCAATAATATGTGCTAATATGACCATCATTTCATATGTCTTTTGGCAAATAGCTGAATAAATCTTTTTGGAATATAACTGAAATAGAATTGCTAGGCTATAGGATGTATATAGGTATAGCTTTAGGAAGTATTGCCAAATAACCTTTCAAAGTTGTTGTTAAATTACATTTCCAAAGCAGAGAATAAAAATTGCTGGAGGGGCCTCAAGGTGACTGACTAGAGCCGTCTGGTACTTGCCTTCTCCATAAAGAATAACCAAAACTGCAAGTAAATAATCACATATCTAATAGATCATTTAAGAGAGAACACTGGAATTCGACAGAGAAATGACAAACAAACAAACAAAAAAAAACCTAAGGCAAGGAAAAAAGAGAGAAACAAGGCAGCTTGCTGGGTCAGGATCTTCTGTGAAGCCCGAAGGCTCCCCAGTGTAGGGAAAGGGTTAATGAGAGATCCCCCAGCAGTCCACATTCCCCTGTGGACTCCTGCAATCTTAGTTAAGGAAGAGCCCCGTGACCCTCAGGGGCTCTGAGACCAACACAGAGCCATGCCTGGAGACTGTGCAATGGCAGTGCTCCAGAAAGGGAGCTCACACTGGTTCCCACACACCCTTCAGCCCTAGGAAACTATAGCATGGAGCCATTTTGAGAACCCAGCCCCCATCAGACTACATCCTGTCCTGGTGCACTATCCTTGCTTCTGAGCCACATCAGCATCCCTTATCCACAGCTACTGCCCCTGCTAGCTGCTGCTTCTGATGGCTGCTGCCACCTGAGTCTAAGGAAGAGCCACTGGCAGTAACCCTCACCCCACACCCCTAGAAGAGGGGAAGCTGCCCATTTTCACATGCCCCGAGGAAAGACTAACCGGCCTGTAGCTGCTGGTGCCACTTCCAGGGTCAAAGCATGAGCCACTGGCAGCAGCTTCATCCCCTCCAGCAGGGGGATGACCACACATTTTCACATGCCCTGAAGACAGATTACACCTCCCAGCTGCCACTGCTGCTGGCCGTGGCCATCACTAGGCTCATAAGGGAGCCACTGGCAGAAACCCACCCTCCCCAAAAGCAGGTTTGTATTGCCACTGCTGCTGTCCCCACCTGAGCACTCCACCTGGGAGCCTAGGTATCACCCTACCCCTGACCACCATAGCCAGTGCCTGTATGCACCACTAGGAGCTTGAAGACAGGCCTGTGCAGCATGGCTATGCCTTCTCTAATGTCTGAAAATGCTGTCCAATAACCTAGAGATCTCTCTGCCCTGCCTACCCTCTTTAGCATCTAAGTAGTCCTCCTAGGGCCTGAGGACAGACCCACTCAGCCTGCTGCTACCACCGCAACTGGCCCCAAACCACATGCATCACTTGTGGGTCTGTTGGATGGTTAGGCCCATCCAACAAGTCACAGTCACTGCCAACATCAGTGAGGACCACTTGGGCACCAGAAGGTTGTCCTATCACTGCTACAGCCATTGATCATGCTGCACCCACTGCCCACAGTTGCAATCTTTAGGAACCGATACCAATCAAAAAGAAATTTACGAAATCCCAGAAATAGAATTCACAATATTGGTGTTAAAGAAAATCAATTAGATATTAGGCAATACAAAAAAGCAATACAAGTAAAACAACTCAAGATATGAATGAAAAATTTACAAAAGAGATAAAACAAACAAACATCATAAAAGAGATAAAAAGAGCAAACAAACATCATGAAAAAGAGCAAAACAAAAATTCTGGAACTGAGTAATTTATTTAATAAAATAAAAAACAAATTCAAAAGCTTCAATAATAGATCAGGCAGAAGACATAATTTTAGAACTTGAAGACATGTCCTTTAAAATAATCTAATCAGACAAAAATTTAAAAAAAGAATAACAAATACTGAGCAATGCCTATGTGTTATATGGGACACCATATAGTGAACAGACTAGAGTAGCCCCACAACACATTCTTACTGGTGTTCTGTATTTGGAACTGAATGAACAATATTTACTATTATAAAAAACATGAAAGTATAAAAACTGCTGGTTGAGTAAACACTCAAGTAAGGAAGAGGAAGGATTTAAATGTTACCACTACAGAAAAACACCAAACTGCAATGATAATAAGAAAGAAAGAAAGTTTACACACAAAAAGAAAAGAAATGGAAATCAATAAAATGACAGGAGTAAGCCCTTACATTCTTATAATAACCTTGAAAGTAAATGGGTTAAACTTTACGCTTAAACAATAAAAACTAAATGAATGAATTAAAAAACACACACACACACGACACAACTATATACTACCTATAAGAAAATTATCTGACCTGGAAAGACACATACAGACTGAAAGGAAAGAAATTTAAAAAGATACTCTATGCAAAGGGAAACTAAAAGAGAGCAGAAGTATCTATATTAATACCAGATAAAACATACTTTAAGTTAAAAACAGTAACCAGAGACAAAGAAAGTCATTATATAATGATAAAAGTATAATTCAGCAAGAAGATATTACAATTCTAAACATATATGCAACCAACACTGGAGCACCCAGATATATAAAGCAAATACTATAAGATCTAAAGAGAGAGATAGACTCTAACACAGTGATAATTGGCAACATCAACATCACACTCGTAGCATTAGAGAAATCATCTACACAGAAAATTAATAAAGAAGCATTAGATTTAAACTGCATATTAGATCACATGAACCTAACAGACATTTATAGAACATTTCACCTAACATTTACAGAATATACATTCTTCTCATTAGCTCATGGAACAAACATTGTCCAGGAAAAGATCATATGTCAGGAAACAAACAAATTTCAACAAATTAAAAAATATTAAAATGATATAAAGTATCTTCTCAGAGCAAAATGGAATCAAACTAGAAATTGATAAGAAGAGAAACTTTGGAAACTTTAAATACATGAAAATTAAATAACATGCTCATAAATGACTATTTTTTATTGAAACAAATGCAAGTAAAAATAAAACACACCAAAATCTATAGCATACAGTAAAAACTGCATTATGAAGGATGTGTATAGCAATAAACACATCAAAAAAGGAAGATTTCAAATAAATAATACAATAATGCACCTCAAGGTAACAGAAGACCAAGGAGAAACCAAACATAAAATGAGTAGAAGGAAAGCAATAATAAAAATCAGAACAGAATTCAACAAAATAGAGACTGAAAAATACAAAGGATCAACAAAATGAAAAGGTTTATTTAAAAAAATAAATGAAATTGATAAACCACTAGGTAGACTAAGAAGGGAAAAAAGGAGATAAGATGCAAATAAAATCAGAAATGAAAAAGGAGTCGTTACAACTGATGTCACAGAAATGCAACAGTTCATCAGAGACTATTAAGGACAACTACACAGTAAAAAACTGGAAACATATGTTTACAAATCAAGATACAAATGTTGACACCTATAAATATAAAAGTATAATGTTTTGGAAAATATTAGATAATGCAAATAGAAGCAAAAATTACTAAATTTAGTTATTTTGTTATGTATCATGAGATAGTAACCACCTTTAGCATATTTTTAAATAATCATTTGCGTCTTTGTTCTATTTTTCCCCAAAAAGTAGTTTTGTAACCAAAATGTGCAAAATTGCCAAGGTTACAAATAAACAAATTTTTCAGTGTCAAAAAAAAAACAAACAAAAAAAAAACTGGAAAACCTAGAAGAAACTGCTAAATTTCTGGACACATACAACCCAACAAGATTGAATCAGGGAGAAACAAAACCCTAAACAGACCAATAACACATAATGAGTTTGAATCCAGTAACAAAGTGTTTTCCAACAACAACAACAAAACTCCAGTACCTGATGGCTTCACTGCCAAATTCTACCAAATTTTTAAATAAGAACTAACACCAATTCTCCTCAAAGCATTCCAAAAATTTAAGGGAAAGCAATTCTTTCTAATTTATCATAGTGGCCAGGATTACCTTGATACCAAAAACCTGACAGGGATACAACAAAAAGGAAAACTACAGGCTAATGTCCCTGATAAATATACCTGTAGGTGCAAAAATCTTCCATGAAATGCTAGCAAACCAAATCCAACAGCTTGCCAAAAAGATAATATATCATGATCAAGTGGAATTTTTCCCACAGAGGAAAGAATTGTCTAAATATGCAAATCAATAAACATAAAACAGCAGCAAAAAAAGCAGCAACAGAATGAATGACCAAAGCCATTTTTTTATTCCTCTACCTCCATAAGATAAACTATATCAGCTCCCATGTATGAGTGAGGGCATGTAATGTTTTTCTTCCAGTGCCCAGCTTATTTCACTTAACATAATACCTTCCAGTTCCATTCATATTGCTGCAAATGATTTCATTCTTTTTATCACCAAATAGTGATTTTTTAAAAAAGAAAAATAGTATTCCACTGTGTATACCATGTACTTTATTCATTCCCTATGGCAACAATGCACTTGATCTGAGTAGAATTTATTCTTCATGGAGAGGATGAACGTGTCCCATGTTTGTATAGCCTCCCTTTCTTATACACAATGCATAGATTGTCACCAGGTTTACTGTCCTCATTTTATTACCTTTCTGGTCTCACAGACATGTGAGTCAATAAATGCTTAGGAAAAGCATCAACTCTTTAAGTAATTAGTATATTACTTCTTTATTCTGCATTCTCTGATTTGGCAGATCTTTGCCCCACTCCCAACACACAGGAATTCATATATTTGCAGAGACTTCAGAAAACTGATACATTATTGTGACTTATGAATTTGTCTTTATTTTGATTTTTTATTTCTACTTTTAGGTTTAATGGGTACATGTTCAAGTTTGTCACATGGGTAAATTGCATGTCGTGATTTTAATGCCATTTTATTCCCATCTTTTATGAAATTTTGTCTCCATTATTTTCTTCCCAATTCAAACAGTATGTCTAGTCTATGTTTCATTTATCATAAGTAAAGCTAAACTTGTCTCCAAGTAAAAATTTAATTAGACCTTCCCGAATCTGTTTGGTCTTAACTCCATAAACAATTGGGTTTATGGTAGGAGGCAGTAGCAGGTAAAGGTTGGCCACGATGATGTGTATGTGGTGAGGGATATTGTGTCCTCCAAAACGATGAGTGAAAAAAGTGAAAAAAGCAGGAACATAGGTGATCACAATGGCACACATGTGAGATGTACAGGTGCTGAAGGCTTTGTGACGAGCATCTGCTGATGACAGACTCATAACAGCCAGCAAAATCATAGTGTAAGATACAGAGATACAGCAGATGTCAGATACACCAATCAGGAGAGCAACTATCAGACCATAAATAGCATTGACCTTGAAATTGCCACAGGATACCTTGGCCACAGACATGTGGTCACAATAGGTGTGGGGGATGAAATTCTCCCGGCAATAGGATAGGCGCTTGGTGAGGAAAGTGAATGGGATGATGAGTGTCACATTCCTCAAGAAAGTGGCAAAACCAGCCTTGGCGATGACAGTGTTGGTAAGGATGGTGGCATAACGTAAGGGGTAGCAGATGGCCACAAAGCGGTCCAGGGCCATGAGCATGAGCACCCCAGACTCCATCCCTGTCAGCATATGGACAAAAAACATCTGGGCCAGGCAGGCATTAAAGTCAATCTCCTTGAGGTTGAACCAGAATATGCACAGCATATTAGGTACTGTGGTGGTGCACAAGGTGACATCAGTGAAGGAGAGCAGGGCCAGGAAGTAATACATGGGCCGGTGCAGGGCCTCTTCATGACTGATGAGGTAGATGAGCCCGCAGTTCCCCACAACAGCAATGATGTACATAAAGCAGAATGGCAGGGAGATCCAGGTGTGTGTGGCTTCCAGCCCAGGAATGCCATTCAAGATAAAGAATCCTGGGGTCAGGCTGGAGCTGTTGTCCCCAGACATGATGGCTGATAGGAGGAGACCATTTTACACTCTTTAGCAGTGGCAGTTTCCTAGACCAGAAATAAAACCAATACTGAGTAGAGGATTTAGAAATAATGCAAGAATACAGTGGCTTCTATAAGATGTCTAAAATGAAATTAAATCCCTCTGAATTCACACTGCCTAACTTTACATTCCACTTCCTGTTCTTCCTAGTATATGATATTGGCAAGTCATTTTACCACCTTATGCCTCAGTTTCCTCAATCTAAAATGAGATAATAATTCCTAAAATCAGAATATTTTCAAGATTATTCAGTAAGATAATTTATGTAATGCGCTAAAACTGTACATAGTATATAGTGAATACTCAACAAATATTATCAGTAGTCACTACTATTACTTCTGTTCTCAATATAAAGCATACCATATGCAAAAACTTACCATAATTAATACTTGTGAATTCAGTCCTGATCCAATTCAAATGCCATCTTATACTTTAGAGTGGGAAAGATAGCATGAGATTCTGAAAACTTCAACTATATTGAGAGATTGTGAGGGAACTTTAGAAAGTAAGTGCTAACATAGACTAGTTACAATGGACTTCAAGTGATTAAAATATGTTATCATGTTTTTGATGAAAAAAATATGTCTCTTAAATCAAGAATAAAATCCAGGGAAATTTTATCCAGCGGAACTGCTAACTCTAGGTAATGATGCAAGTGAACACTGGAACTTCTGCAAAGAGAACTGATCTGTGTGGAATGATGCCTTGGATATTTTTGCTCCTTCTGAGGTAGTCATAGGGCACCAGAGCCACAAGACTGGCAGAAAAAAAACAAGGACCATAGGCTGTCAGAAGTAGGAATTTCTGGCTCTGCATAGCCATCTTGTAAACTAAAACTGTTCACCCATTGCAGAAAATTACTGTATTTTTCCAAGCATAACACCATGTAACTAAATAATCAATCTCCGTTTATTAAATACCAACTGGCAGACAGACAACTCAGAGCCAGTTCTTTCTTCTCCCACCTTAGGAAAAAAAAAATCCATCTTCCAGATGATTCTCAGTAATGCACATAAGCATTCCTGAGCCAAGCAACCCAAATACAAGACCCACACACACTGCTGTAATACTGTATTCTAAGTGTAAATTAGAATATATTTAAAAGAAGACAACTAAGTGTCCACTCTGAAAATATAACGTGAGCAGAGTTTTATTGCATTTTTACAATAGAGACATGGCCATTCAGATTTAATCGGTTAAATTTTGTTCCCAACACTAACTGGATAGACTTGTGTAAGTCCTAAAACCTTTCTTCGTACAATTTTTATAACCTTAAAAGGGGAGTGATAATACTATATATACATGCCATTGAGGTGTTAAAATGGTTAAATTAGAATTAATCTTCCCACTGGTGCCCAGCATCTAATAAGTAAACAATGCATATTATCTATTATAATATTTGTCATATTATGTTGTAAAACACAGTTTAACATACTTTTATTGATTGTCTTTCACTTGCCAAGGATCATGTTAGTTTCTAGAAATACATTAGTGAGCCAGACAGACAACATCTTCTGCACTTATGGAGCTAATATTTTAATAGGGGTTGATTACTGTATTCAAAATTACAATAGCAATATGGACCTATCATCTTAATTTTACATATGAGCAAATGGAGGTACAAGGTTATTCAATAAAATGCCTAATGCCACAAAAATTGAAAACTAGTAGAGCCAAGATCCAAATCCAAGTTTGTTTGACCTCAAATCCATGTGTAATCAATCTATACCTGTTGTCCTAACTTACTGATTTTAACCCTGACAAATAGTCCCATAAGCTAAGCATAACTAGCTTAAAGAAATCATGAGGACACTGGAAGAAGCTAATTTTCAAAAGGGAGAATGAGAAAGCTTATTTAAAATTGTATCTTAGGGGAGAGATAGAACAAAAGTGTAGATTTACAGAAAATTAATTCTTAGCTGAGGAAGCTCTCTATGTAAGAGAACACGTCTGTGGGGCAGCTGGATTCTTTTGTTGTCTTTTTGGTTGTTTTTTTTTATGAGACAGAGTCTCACTCTGTCGCCAGGTGCCAGGCTGGAGTGCAGTGGCGCGATCTCGGCTCACTGCAACCTCTGCCTCCCGGGTTCAAGCAATTCTCCTGCCTCAGCCTCCTGAGTAGCTGGGACTACAGGTCCACACCACCACGCCCAGGCAGCTGGATTCTTATCCCTGGGCTTGTTCACACAGATGCTGGATTGCACCTGGTAGAAGAATTGCATAGAAGAATTTCTGTAGGGAAGNAAAAAAAAAAAAAAATAGCTAGGTTTGGTGGTGCACACCTGTAATATGAGCTACTCCAGAGGCTGAGGCAAGAGACTCACTTGAACCAGTGAGCCAAGATCATGCTACTGTACTCCAGCCTGAGCCACAGAGTGAGACTGTCTCAGAAAAGAAAAGAAAAAAAGCAAAGCAAGGCAAAGAAACCAAAATGTGTCTGTTAGGTATGCCTAGTGTTCCTGGGTTGTCATGGCTTCCAGGTCCTCTCAGCCCACAAAGACAGGAAATATGTATGTGTATTAACTCACTCTCACATGTCTGCATTTATTTCTAAAAATATCTATGTGTATGTGTATATAAAAGCATGAGTTTATACTGATACCTTCCATGTTAATCCAACACAAAGTTCATTCTAGCCTTCCCCTCTTTCCTTATGTGTAACTTTTTTCTCTGACAGTGAGAAAGCTGGCTCTCCTTATCCATAATGTATTTTCTTATTTGTTCAATCATAGTAATGTGTACACATGAAGTACTTTAAGAATTGCAAACTCATCTCCCCAAGAAACAAATTTACTAATTAGAGTACATTTCTGTCCAGGTTTTTAGTCTTTCATCTTACAGTTTATATGCAAAATACTATTTTCCAAGGTTACTCAAGTTAGTTCTTTCCTTCCCCACTTACTTCAGTGTGATTCTGCTATTCATTTAATACACTTAGTTTCGTCTACCACTCTTCATATTCCATATGGGGTTCCCCCATATGCTGGCTGATTTTAATTATTTATTTGGGGAGGTAGATATGTGGGCCATTACCATGTTTATGGCAGTCAGAGCTATACAGAAAGATGTACAGGCCAGGTATAGTGGCTCGGACCTGTAATCCCAGCACTTTGGGAGGCCTAGGCAGGAGGATCGCTTGAACCCATGAATTCAAGACTAGCCTGAACAACATAGTAAGACCCCCACCACTACAAAAAAATTTGAAAATTAGCCTGGCGGGCTAGGTGTGGTGGCTCACACCAGTAATCCCAGTACTTTGGGAGGCCAAGGCAGGTGGATCACAAGGTTAAGAGATGAAGACAGCCCTGGCCAAGATGGTGAAACCCCATCTCTACTAAAAATATAAAAATTAGCCAGGCATGGTGGCACATGCCTGTAGTCCCAGCTACTCGGGAGGCTGAGGCAGGAGGTTCGCTTGAACCCGGGAAGCTGAGGTTTCAGTGAGCCAAGATCTTGCCATTGCACTCCAGCCTGGTGAAAGAGCAAGATTGCCTGTGTCTAAAAAAACAAAAGAAATGGAAAAAAAAAAAAAAAAAAAAAAAAAAAAAAAAAAAAAAAAAAAAAAAAAAAAAAAAAAAAAAAAAAAAAAAAAAAAAAAAAAAAAAAAAAAGAGTTCTAGAGCAACCACATTCTGTCTCTTCATAGCATTTCTGTGCCATTCAAGAATTCTCTAGGCTCAAATGTATACACTTGATTGGATCGCCACAGTTTGGTGTCTCAGAGGCCTGTGGTCAGATAGAAAAGATCCTGTGGGACTTTGGAGATTATTTCTATATTTACCAGCTCTTTAAGCAGGGGTAAAATTATAAAAATAAATAGTAACAAACTTAAATGTCTTCTCTCAGCTATAGATTCTGATGAATAGTTCTGATAGTAATAAGAATTATTTGTTTTCATCTATATTGATCACAGTATCTATTTCACAACCTTGTTATCCATATATGTGTGTGTATATATGTACATATATATACATATACACTATGTGCATAACTATATATATATAAAATTTTATAAAAAATAGAGAAAGCAAGCAGGATGGAGAAAGACACAGAGACCGAGATAGAGAGACAGAGAGGTCTATATAACACAAAAGAGTAATAAAATTGTGCTATGCCTAGTTTTTTATTTGTCCCAAGTTTATTGGATAAATTGATGGATACATAAACACACATATGTGTGTACATACACATTTTTATTTGTTTTTTGGAAGATTGTGACAAAATAGTTTTACATGTATTTTATATACACTTTACTATTTGATTTTTCCTCAATATTTTATGTCGAACAAATTTTATCATGAATGTATTGGAAAACAAATGTAAATGATTTTTATCATTTCAGATGCTGAGAATATGAAGATTTCTAAAGTTGTCATTGAAAATGTGTCAGAACTCCCAGCCCCAAACTGTAATTCCAATACATTAACAGAGGAAGTGTAGAATGGTATAACCATTTGAAATAACAGTTTAGCAGTGTCATTAAATATATGTGTATCAAATATATGATCTAGTAGTTTTCTGCTTAGGTTTTTTTTCGTTATTATTTTTTTGAGACAGGGTCTCACTCTGTCACTAGACTGGAGTGCAGTGGCACCCTCATAGCTCACTACAGCCCAGAACCCATAGGCTCAAGAAATCCTTCTGCTTCAGCCTCCTGAGCAGCTGGCTAATTTTTGTATTATGATTTTTGTAGAGACAGTCTTGTCATCTTGCCCAGAATGGTTTTTAATAAAGAAAAATCAAACCATTTTTCCACAAAAAGATATATATATACATGTTCATATAACCCAAATATTAATAAATGGACCAAAATGTGTGGTATATTCATCCAATGATACATAACTTTGAAATAATAAGGAATAAACTATAAATACTACAACATAGATGAATTTCAAAGAGATTATCCTGAGCCTAGCAACCCAGACACAAAATCCCATTGTATGATTTTATTTATATGCAGTCCAAAACCAGGCAAAATGAATCTTAAATTAATAGAAATTTTAAGATGACATCCTCTGAGGAGAAGTAATGACTCATAGGAGCAAGATGGAACTTTCTAGGAAGATAAAAATGTTGTCTATCCTTCTTTATGTGAGTAACATTATATAGATATTTGTGACTGTCAAAACCTATCAAATTGGTCTGGGCACAGTGGCTCACACTGGTAATTTCAGAGCTTTGGGAGGCTAAGGCAGGAAGATTGGTTGAGGTCAGGAGTTTGAGACCAGACCGGAAATGTAGAGAAAACTCATCTCTACAAAAAAAAAAAGAAAAAAAAAACCCCAAAAAACAGATAAACAAAACCCCCTGAAAAGTGGATCAAACTGAACACTTAAAAGTTGTGCAGCTTATTGTGTAAAATATACTTCAATAATAGAAAAAACCCACAAACTACTGGTCTAATAAAGGGTATATAAAAATTAACAATAAGCATTATAGTTATGAACTGTTAAAGGCAAAGCCATTCCTTCCAAGTAGCTGCGATTACAGGTAACTGCCACCACGCCTGGCTAATTATTTTTATTTTTAGTAGAGATGTGATTTCACCAT